TCCCCACTAACAGCCCATCATCCCACTCCAGCAGGTCTTCACTGGGGATGAGTGTGGAGGCACCATGGGCACCTATAGACATGATGGACCTCTGCTCCAATGCATGCTAATTAGCACGTGTCAGAGCAGACTCGATTAGTCAAGTCTGCTGTGTGTTTGCTGGAGCGTGCTAATTAGCGTGCTCCAGCAGCCTCTGCGTCGCATGTATTCAGCATCCCCACATTTCAAAGCTTGTCAAGCTGGCTTTAGTTAAAACGCCTCCACTACCATTTTGAAGTGTGAGATGCTAAATTCATGTGACACTGAAGGCGCTTTAATTAGAGTGGCTCTCAGAGAGGTTCTCAACCTTTCTGCTAGGACTGGCAACAAGCCTATGTGTGAGCAAATAATGTGGGGAGGCTCACCACTGGGAAGGACACTGGCAGTGGCACTGAGCATGTAAGCTGTGGATCAGAAATCAGAAGACAGTTCCCTGGCACTCCTGCCCTGGACCCCACTTGAATGAGTAGCCTAGTGTCAGAGACCCAGACACCATTCCCTGGGTTGGCTCCATCCCCTGTATTTCACTCTCCTCACCCTGGATTTTCCACTTGTGTGGAGCAGCTGCCAAACTGCTGGTCCCACCAGGACTTGGGAGAGGGATGTGGGGAGGATTCAGCCTTGGGTTACAATTGTGCAGCTGTCCACAATCTTCCTGGATTATGGACAGTCTCATGACAAGCAGCTGCTGCTCCTGGTGTCTGGAGTTTTCTCTGTGCTGAGAACCCTTCCCCCTGCTCCCACCCTGTCGTTGAGACTTTGATCTGGGGAGGAGGCTAAATTGCCTAACAAGTCCTGACTTGGGTGGTTATGCAGGTTACACCAATAGGAAGAGGGAGGTGGGCAGGAGTGTGACCCAGCTGGGGTCTAGGAGGAGGATTCAGCTTCTTCAGACAGCCCTGCTCTGCTGTACCTGGGACACTGTGGGGCATTCCCCTCACTCTGGGCCAACAGTATTTTTCCTTTTGTCAGTGAAGAGGCTTGCCCAGCTGGTACAGCTTGCCTGGTGTGCTGGCAGTGAAGCTGAGAGGGTCTATGGAGACAAGCTGGCTGGGGCAGGTCTCCTCTCTCATCACTCACCAGTTCCTTCCTAGTGGGTGTCTGTCCATGGAATCCTTCCCAGCAGTTTCTGTCTCCCAAGGCTCCTGACTCACTTCTTTCAGATCTCCACTGAGATTGCAGCACCTGCCAAGATAGATACAGTTAACTCCTGCTCCTGTTGGAACCACAGCTGAACAATTTGGCCAGGTGGAGAGGGTGCAGGGAGCCAAACTGCATCCAGATGCAAAAGAGCTCCAAGATGGACTCTGAAGCTCCAAGGCAGCCTTCCTTTGCTGTTGGCAGAAGGGCTTCTCCATGCCCAGAGCCCCTTCTCTCATTCTCTAAGACCCTTTGTGGCAGGCCAGCAGGGGGTACTCCTACGCTGAACCACCTGCCTCACTGCGCCTGACCAAAAACCAAGCTCCGAGTGCCTCCCCTGGGGTACCTATGTCCAGCCGACCCCCTTCCTGGAGCACACCCGCAAACCTGGAGTAACCACTGCCCCCACCCAGACTCAGGTTTTTATCTGGGCCCTTGGGTCCTGTGCTGCCTGGGACACACAGACCCTGTAGACAAGAGAGAGAGAGAGGTCAGGGACAGATGTCATTTGATGCTGACCAGTCAATTTGAAAAACATCACAGTTACCTAGAGGACTGACATGGGCTTAAGCCCCTGCCCCCAGCTCATGAGGTCAGAGCGCTAAATAATAGAGAAGTTAAATTCACACCCTCTTACTTGAAGTCTATCAGATACACAGTAACTTGAGGTAACCAGGTTGACAGGCAGGTGAGAGGACAAAGAAAAAGGAAAGGAAAAAAAATGCGGGAAAGAGGAGGTTGGGAATGGAGTTCTTTCACACCCTTTGTGCCTTAGTGGGTGAGAAGGACTAGGCCCAGCTCCTTCAGCCTTTGCCAAAGTTGCTTTGTGCCAGAGTCCCCTACCTGTCTCATGCCACAGAAGAAAAAGGGGCTGTTGCTCAAACCCAGATCTGCCTCAGAGGTCCTCTGTCATTCATTTTGGGGAACAGGGAGGATCTGGTTTCTTGACAGGCCAGCTGAACTGTGTGGGGCTAAATACTATTGACCTACCTGCCATAAAGGAAAGACTGCTTTACTCCGCGAAGACTTCAGCTTCTCCTGAGGTCTAGCTGTTTGAAACCAGGTACATACCATCCTATAGAGAAGCATCTCTGCTCTGAATCCTCAGGCAGCAGTTCCTTCTGTGTCATAGCAGTAAGGCCATGTTCTATACTTTTACTCTTAGCAATTTTAATTCCCGATACTCAAAGCACTGAACCACAATCGGGAGATCAGCATAAGCTGTCTGTGAAGGCCAAAGTCATCATTTTCTACATTGCAGCATTTCTAACAACTAGGAAAGGAAGTGGAATTGATGATGTCCCTCAAACATATATAGCAATGAACAAGGCAATCAGTACTAAGAAAGAGGACCATCTACCAGAGCCCACCCCAGAGGAAAGCCACTGACTGCCATGGAGTTACTCCAAATTTACATCACTCTTCCTGAGAACAGAGTCTGGGTCCAGATGGTCTTAAGCTCCTAGGGCCAAATTTGTCTCTAGTGTCACCCTGTCTGAGTCAGCGGAGTGACACTAGGGAGGAGCTTGGCCACCCCTGTTTATTATTGCAGTATAAAGTTACCCTTTAAAGCTGAGCCAGCTCTGTCAGAACTGCATACCATCCCAGGACACAAAGCATTCTCAAGAGCTGCTATTCGTCCGCTAGCTATTGTGCTGGTGCTGAGCAGCCTTGCTCCCAGGCACCAGTCTTGTGGACTCCTTTGGGTGCTCCAGGATTGGTTCTTTGTGTTTTGTATTTCCCTCTTGAGAAGGCTCAAAATCAAAGAACATTCTTGGCTCAAGAATTTGTTCCAGCTAGTGACAGTTCCAGCCTCTCCAGGACTGGAGCTCAAGACTCCTGCAGCAGAAACAAACAAACAAAAGCTAGGATCAGAGGGGAGGGGGCAGAATGACCTTCCTGCATTTCCTGAATTTCTGTAGAGTCATTGTCTTTTCTTTTATTTCCCCAGGAGATCAAGCCTGGGACAGTGACTTCTACAGAACCCAGCAGGGGAACATTTTGAGGTAATATAAAACACTGATTCTTTCTCTTTTTAAATTCTAAGGGCAGTCTGAGTGGTCTTGTTTTTCACCCTCACTTAATGGTAAGTCCCCCATTAAAGCTTTTGCTTCAGTTTTCTTAAAGATTACATTCAGGAATCATTCCAGCTCAGCATAAGGACCAAGGTTATGTTTTTCCCAACTGCCCTGACAAGCTGACGGGATCTCTGCCACCAGTATCCCACTTGCTGATATTGCTAGTTTCATTAATTCACAGGGATGAAAGCCTTTCACCAGCTTTCTGCACCAGCAGGAGGCAGTTCTGGGCACCCAGACAGGTTCTTGGCTATTGCTCCTTTACATGTGGTTATGCAGGAATGTTCTCTGCTGGCTTGGCCTTTCGTCTCTGACAATCAAATCCAGGAGACCTGTTTGACTTGTTCCATGTGTCTATAGCATCTTCCATCCTTGCAAGCTTTGAATTTACTGTCAATTGGAGAGCTGTAGGGATTTTGTAGCAGTGATCTACAGTGTTTAGGTGAACAGATCCATAGGCTGAAGGTGCTGGCACAGGGCCTGATACCTTTGATCAAAAAGAAACTATACTTGATCTGAGCCAAATATTATATTCTGGGGCAGAAAAAAAAATCCCACATGCCCTGAATTATCAGGCATCATGTTTCCCTCTGGTGAGAAAAAGGGGATTTGATACAGAGAAAGCTTCCTGGCTGGGAAATGGAAAATAGCTCTGAGTCCTTTTTTGCCTTTGCAAATATTTCTGAGATGAAAAATGGAGATTAGGCTGCTGAGGCATATCTGTAACGGTAAAAATTGCCCCTTACCTGCTGATCTGGGCCACAGACCTCTACCTGCCCTACATGGCCTTACAATTACACTATCTGTGGATCAGACACTGGCTGTAGATCAGAAATTCAGCAATAACAAATAGAAGTGTGATTCATCCCATTGCAGCTCCCCAGCAGGAAGGCATTATCATTATACATGTAAACACAAAAAGCCAGCTCCTGAGAGCTGTAGCACCTGATGAGATGATGAGAGGTAGGCGGGGAGGAGGTGGAATTAATACTCGTGCTGGAGGCATGTAAGTGGTGCACACCCTGTTGGACCAGCTGCACACTAGAAGGATTGTACACTGAGGCTGGTCACAGCAGCTGGGCTTGATGCCTGGTTCTGCCATTGATGGGTTGTGTGATTTAAGGCATGTCACCTCTGGGCTTAGGGCATCTGTAACATGGGGCTAGCACCTGTCTGCCTTACAAGGCAAAGTGACCTACTGACTCTCTATGAGTCGCTTCAGCATTCTTGGGTCAAGTTATTCTTCCTTTCTGCCAGTTGTGCAGGGTGCCACCCCACAAGTGGTGCCATTGCTGTGGTGATTTATGTATGTGCCTTGTAAAATGCTTGCAGCTAAAAGCTGCTGGTCAGAGTGGATGTGTTGATTGCGTTGTAACTGGTGCTACACAGGGGCCTCCCTTATTATCACCCCTGCCTCTTTGCATTCTCCCTTCTGTTGCCTGGAGAATAAATAGTTTGTTGTTGTTATTATACTGAGCTCCTGGTCCTGAACAGAAGTCACTGCAGAGAGGCAGTGCACAGAGATACATGACTAATCCCATTGTAGGGATATTTGCCACATGAACACCTGCTCACATGTTGTGTACGAGTCAGCAGAGGGAAAGGAAGGGGATGGCCTGGAGCTTCTTTCAGGGACCTGATGGCATTCCT